GCCAAAAGAAAAGAAACCACGGCGAGGAAAGAAGTCAGGCGGCAGCTGCCGAAGTAAAAAAGTTGTTGGAAGCTGGGTTCATTCGGCCATGTAATTTCCCCGACTGGGTTGCGAATGTTATGCTTGTAAAGAAGCCGAATGGTACCTGGCGTATGTGTGTTGATTACACATACCTCAACAAGGCATGTCCCAAGGACAATTATCCGCTCCCAAAGATCGATAGTCTGGTCGATTCGACAACCGTGCATGCCTTGATGAGTTTCATGGATGCCTACTCTAGCTTCCATCAGATACCCCTTTGGATAAAAGATCAACAGAAGATGGCCTTCGTCACTGATCAGGGGTTATTCTGTTACACTGTGATGCCGTTTGGCTTGGAAAATGCGCCGGCTACATTCCAACGGATGATTAATACGATCTTCATTAATCAAATCGGGAGGAATGTGGAGGTGCACATTGACGATATGATAGTCAAATCCAAGCAGCAGGCGAATCACCTTGCTGATCTCCGAGAAAGTTTCTCGGATTCCTGATTGATCAAAGGGGGATAGAGGCTAACCCCGAGAAGATAAAGGCGGTAATTGACATGAAGTCACCCCGCACTGTCAAGGAAGCACAAAGACTAACCGGTTGTCTGGCGGCACTGAGAAGGTTCCTTAGTCGGTCAGGTGACAAATGCCATTACTTCTTCCAAACAATCAGGAAGAAGACCAGATTTGAATGGGGGGATGATGCTGAGGCGGCCTTTCAAAAGCTGAAAGAACATTTGCACTCTTTGTCAAGGCTTGTTAGCCCTCTGCCCAAAGAGACGTTATATCTGTACCTAGCCATGTTAGATCATGCTCTCAGTGCTGCTCTCCTTGCTGAGAAAGACGGCGTCCAGCTCTCGGTCTATTTCATTAGCCATGTGCTAAAAAATGCTGAACTCCAGTACCCCATGGTCGAAAAATTTGGCCTTGCTCTATATATGGCCTTCAAGAAATTGAAGCTGTACTTTTTGGCACATCCGGTTGTAATTTACATCGATCAGCCCCTCATGCGGCCAATGTCTACCTTGGAGTCATCCGGCAGAATGCTGAAATGGCCTATTGAAATGCAAAGTCTTAAAATCACTTTTGAACCTAGAAAGGCAGTGAAAGGTCAGGCGTTTGCCGACTTTATTGTCAAAATGACACGACCGGTACCACCGGATAACATTGATCAGGTTTGGAAAGTGTATGTAGACGGGAGCTCGACGAAGAACGGATGCGGTGCAGGAATTATATATGAGTCTCCTAGAAAGCCTCAAATAACGAGGTGGAATATGAAGCCCTGCTAGCCGGAATTCGCATGTGTAAGGCAGTAGGGGCAACAAAAAATGACGCCTACTCTGATTCACAATTGGTTGTAAGCCAATATGAGGGAGCATATGAGGCAACTCATCCGGCTATGATCAAGTATCTTCAAGCAGTCAAAGAAGAGGCCGGGGAACTTCAGGAATTCTGTTTGAGTCAAGTGCCCAGGTCAGATAACAACCAGGCGGATGCGTTGTCCAAATTGGCATCTTCCGCCTGCTGTGATACGCCTCGGTCAGTCTTTTGGGAAGTTCTTGAAAAAAGAAGTATATATGAAGAGCCCATTGGAATCTTGGACCAAAGTTCTACTTGGATGGATGGCATCCGGGCATATTTAACAGACGGCACACTTCCAGAATCACCACAGGAGGCAGCCGTCATGAAGAAGCGAGCATCAAACTTCGAGATGAGAAATGGAGAGCTCTTCAAGGCGGGTTTCCTTAAACCTCTATTGAAGTGTGTTACACCAGAAAAGGGGAAAGAAGTTCTTGAAGAATGCTGGATATTGCGCCTCTCAAATAGGCGGCAGATCCCCAGCCGTCAGAGCAAGGCGGCATTACTTTTGGCCTACTCTTGAAGCAGACGCTAAAGAGTTGGTAAAGAGGTGTGACAAATGACAGAGGTATGGCAAGCTTATTCACCGCCCGACTACTTATCTGACGGCAATCCAAAGCCCAGTCTCGTTTGCTAAGTGGGGCATGGATATCCTAGGTCCTTATACACCTGCTCCAGGCAGAAAACGTTATATTTTGGTGGCTGTGGATTATTTTACCAAATGGGTAGAGGCTGGGCCGGTTAAGAACATCAAGACAAAGGATGTCATCTCTTTCATTTGGAAGAACATCATCACCCGGTTTGGGGTACCTATGTCTATGGTGTTTGATAATGGCCCTCAGTTTGAAACACCTCACCTTAAGACTTGGTTGGGATATCAGGGTATCTCACATTGTTTTACATCAGTTGGCCGACCCCAAGCAAACGGTCAAGTTGAAGCCTTCAACAAGCTTATCTTAGACGGCATAAAAAAGAAAATTGAAAGAGCCGGTGGCTTATGGCCAGAAGAGCTTATTCATGTCCTATAGGCCATCCGGACAACTGCCAAAGGGGCAACCAGTGAAACCCCATTTCTTAAGGTATACGGTGCTGAAGCCGTCTTGCCCATTGAACATTACCAGCCGACTCTCAGGGTCATGGTTTATGATGAAGAGGCAAATTGGGAGGCCATGCGACTAGCATTGGACTCCCTACTGGAACGCAGGGACAATGATGCCCTGCGCCATGAGATATACCGTTTGAGAACGACGAGAACCTACAACAAGAAAGTACACAAGCGCCCTTTGAAAGTTGGCAACTTTGTGTTACGAAAAATGGAGGCAACATGTAGGGCCAATGAGGCTGGAAAGCTAACTCCTAATTGGGAAGGCTCCTACCGGATCTATGAAGAAGTCGGGGATGACACCTACCGTCTGAAAACTCAGACGGAAGACGTCTACCTCGAACTTGGAATGTAGATAACTTACAAAAGTACTACTTCTGAGAATTGTAAATTTTTGTAAATAAAGAATCTATCAATAAGAAATCAGGCTTTGTTTGCAAAATTGTTTTGTTATTATTAAGATATCCGTCTGGGTTACACTTAGACGGAATTTTTGTTTAACCAACTAAGTTTGATACTTAGTGTAATTTAATGTTATGATTACCCGTCCGCCTGGGTAATCTCAGATGACTAATTGCTTAACCAACTAAATTCGACATTTAGTGTAAATTCAATGTTACAATAACGCGTGGCCAATGGCTAGATTGAAAAAACTAAGCACAAAAACGCTTAGTGGCTATACAACCGGCCTAAAACAATACCAAAGGCCAATGGTCGGATGATTTATATTATAAAACCGCCTGTCCGAACATGGACGTTGGCGTCCGGCGACACCCCTCCATGTGCAATCGTCGCAGAGAGCAAACTCTTCGTCAGTTCTACGTACCTATGCAGACGACAAAGATTGAACGATTAAATTGGTCAACTTATAGCTGTCTGACCAAAATAATTTACGAGAACGATTAAGTTTTCGAATACCGGATGCCCTGAGGCATCAGTCGGTTGCCGGCTGAAGTTTTCACTTAGATTATTTATTCCAAAGTTACACTCTCTCTCCTAATTGGGGCAAAAGAGTTTGTGTAATGGCTATGAAATAATCCCAGATGGAATATTACTGCCTGGGTAAGAGGCTAAAAGCACCCGTTCTAATGGCCGACAGTGCACTTGGTTTGGGGAAATCACCATTGTGATTGATTGGCCTAATTTAAAAACACTTCATACTTCTCCAGTATCAAGTGTCTTCAAGACAATCAATCTATTTAGAATAAAACCAACCACACAGCCGTCCAGGGGCAAGAGTAGACGGATTACAAATTGCCGCATGCTTTTTTAAGATAGGCAAAATATTAAAGAATTGCAGTATATACGCAAAATTCAAATAAAAAAATTTTAAACACAAATATATATATATATATAAACAACCGACTAAGTTGGACTACTTCATTAATATTTGAAATGGCACAAAGGCCAGAATAATTGTTAACCGGAATCACATCCGGTGAAGAAACAAAAAAATAAATTGTTTACCCAACTCCATAGTTGGTAAAAATATAACATTACTCGGCGTACAAGCCAGCAAAGAATAGAAGTTGGCATACTGCCGCTGAATTTGGGGAGGCTGATTCAAGGTTGAGGGGGAAGCTGCTGCTCCGGCTGGTCTTGACCGGTTGGGAGGGCTTCTAATTGGCCATCAGCCACTTGTGGCTGGTCGCCTTCATTTTGCTCTTCCTCCGCCGGCTCCTCATTGTCTGAGACTTCATATCCCAGCTCTGCAGCCCAATCATGGAAGCGAGGCAGAGCTGCCTCTCCCAGCACTTGGGCATCATACACCGCAGTGGCGTAATCATACCTAAGTTTGTAGACTTCAAAGTCCACATCCGGGTAGAGGAGCCCCCATGCTATCTTTAGGCGGGCTGCATTGTCCCGCTCATTCTCTTCCATCAGCCGCTTCTGCTCCTGGGCGATCTCATCCAACTCCTTGTTCCGCAGATTGGTGATCTCTACCCCCAGCCGGGAGACGTCTGCCTGGAGTTTTGTGTTCTCCTTGTCAGCATCTTCTAATGCCTTGAGTTCAGATTGAGCATCTTTCAGTTTTTGCTCAAGGTCATTAGCCCGGCTGGTGGCTTCATCATTTGCAGCCGTCAAGCTCCGAATCAGCTCCTCCTATTTCAAATCTACTGCTTTAATCTCTAAATCACACATATAATTAGCATATTCAGCAAAGTTGAGGTTTTCAAGGGCCCTCCATTTGGCGTCATTTACCTCTTCTTGCTTCCGCCTGAAAGGGCCTCAGAGCCCCTCTACCCTCACCATTACCTGAGAAAAGAGCAGCCGGATTATGACATACTTAGTAAAAATGAAGAAAAATATCAGAATTAAGGTTAGGATTCTTTACCTCAGCCACCTGCCCATTATCGGGTCAAAGTCCACTACCTGCAGAACAGGTATAGAATTTTTCTCCGACCGGGTAAGGGTCCTCACCATCCGTTTGGCAAACCCAACAAGATCCGGCTCGTCGGATGTAACATCTGCACCACAAGAAGTAGAAGTACTTGGTGAGAAGGAAGCAGCATAGTTGGCATTCATCCGTTGCCGGCTGCTGACTGAACCCCCGGAGGGGTCTACCTTAGTCTTGACTCTCATGAAGTCAAATGGCCAAGGTATTTCAATCTTGCCCTCACCTTGTGTGTCCGGATGGGGCGTAGGAATCCCCTCCCCAATTGTTGTCGCACCGGCTGCAACATTAGGTGGCTGGCCACCCTTCGATGCCGTAGAGACATTCGGCGCATTCTTCTGCGAGCGCTCTGAGCTTTCGCTCAGAATCTTCATTGCAGAAGGCGATTTGCCACCGGTCGTTGAATGGGGGGTCCCTCTTGGCGGCCTTGGAAGCCGGGGCCTTTTTCAAATCCTCCACTTGCCTTTTGAAAAGCTTGGAGAAGGAGCGTGGCACGCGTTTAACAGAGTCCTGCAAATTAAGAAGTTAAATATACCCAACCGGCAAACAGCATTTGCAAGAAATGTAAAAAAAATAATACTAAGTCAGGCGGTCTTACCCCGCCTTTCTTGGACTCTTTGGCTTCAACGGATGCTTTCTTTGTAAGAGCAGCTTCTTTGCGCAACAACGCTGCTGACTTAGCTGGAGTTTTGACTGGGTCAACCATTTTCAAGGCGTCGGCTGCATGAAGAAAATAAAAGTTAGAAAAAATCATGAAAAGTTTGTAGTTCAAATTTTAAATTACAAACATTCCGGATGCAAGTGGATCTACCCTTGAGAAACATAGGACTTAACCCACACGCGGACAAAAAGCATTAGTCTTTGAAGTAGTCCGGGTGGGGAATCCAGTTTTTTGGAACAACGATATGAGTCCCATCCTCCATGGGCTCAGTAGTAGTTTCAAAGAAACCCGGATCCATTATATGCTCCCGGACCCTAGTAGAAAGTGCCATAGATGGGGCGTTTCCTGCCCAGAAGAACCGGTTCCTGGTTGTACCGGCGCAGTGTCCGGTTGTGTCTCAGGGTTGGATAAGAAATCAAATAAAACTTATCTTTCCACCTTGACCACTTGGACACCTTATCCAAACTCATTCAGTATTGGGGCAAGGTAGAAAGAGTGTACCACGCCCCATGACCACCTGGTGCCTTGCTCAAGTAATGCATATGAGCGAAGGCGGAGAAGATGGGAGCTAAGTTCTAGAGCTCACAGACGGCAATGTAGTTTAAAATGTTCACCCATGAGGCGGGGGTGAGATGTCAAACTCCCAGATCATACCCCTTTAGGATATTACTAATCCCGGTATGGAGGGGGAACCGGAGGCCGACTTCTATTACCGCCTCGTAGCAGACAAAATAATTGTTTGCATTCTCTATGTTATCATCCCATGTCATCACTGCATTTGCAGGCGGGATGGTAATGTCCCATTCCTTTCCAAAGGGGTGCTTTTCCTTGAAGGCTCTGAAGCCACTTTTCAGCAGGGCAATGTCACCCGGAAGCATTCTAATTTTCTTTGGGTTAGGGTTGTCAGCAACTTTCGCCGGCTGCTGGTAGTCAGCCGCGAAGTTATCTTGATCGGAGCCAGAAGACTCGGCCCCCAATCTTTCAGTGGCCTCAGTACCGCTGGATCCTTCCTCGGATCCATTAGAGGAGGCAACCTCTTCTCCAGCTACCTCCCGCACCCTAGAGCTCCCGGAAGAAGAGGGAGCCTCTTCATCAGAGTTGCCGCTCTCCTCCAAATCCTCATGTTCCCCATCCGGAACAACCTCATCGGCTGGCACTTCCATAGTGCGTCGGCTCTTTGATTTTCTGGCCGTCTGTTTGACTCTTGGCATTGTGCCCTGCAGAGACACAGAGAGGGAGGAATTCGGAGAAGAGCACAGCAGTTCCGACAGTCCAGAAAAGGCACCCACTGTTCTAGACTCAGCCATTCCAGGAGACTAGATGAGTATCCTAGGCAGTGCCGAGTGTGTGGATTGAAAAAATATTTTATTTCTAAAACTATGTATACAGGCGGAAAAAGAATGTATACAAGTTGAAAAAGGAAAAACTAAAAATGGTACAGGCGGTTACCTTGCTTTTAAATCTGAAAAATCTGAAAATAGCTACAAACGGTGACCGGGTGTTGCAAGGTTAGCACAGGGAAATCCTGAAAACTCTGATGCAGACGGAAGCAGATAATATCTCTCTAAAACTCTCCTTTTTCTCTCTCTAGAAAAGTCAAATGAAAGTGAAGTGAGAGAAAAGGGCGGGTAAACTTCTATTTATAGAAGGTAAAAACGGGGGCATCCCCGTTTGAATTTCAAATTTTACTATCCGTTGTTACTGTTCACCCGTGATAGGTGGACACGTGTCACATGTGTCACGTTACATGAATGTGACCCTGTGAGGGGCAAATGTTTAGGGTAAAAATACCCTTGACATGTGGATTAATGAGAGGAGGCCACGTGGCGAGTTCAGGATGGCCCAAGTGGCCCAATGCCCTCTTGACGCGTGGCCCCTTCAAATAAGCTCCTGAAATGACGGCCTTCAAGGGCCCAAATCCCAAGAAGCACCATAAAACGGCGCAGCCCACTAAAATCTAGGTCAAGTGACCTAGATAGGGGCACACTCTCCAACGACCCTATAAATAGAGAGATATTTCCCCATTTTGGGGACACAATTGAATCATTTATTACACCTACTTTCTCTCTCATCAGAGAAACACCTGAGCTTGGAATCCGAGCAGATCCCCACCTAAATTTCTGCACTCTTTATTTTTCTTCAAGTTACTAACTTGATCGTCGGAGGCGGAGCTCCACCACCCGGAGTCTCCGTTTTTTTTTTTTGCAGGTATAGCTCGGCCGGATCAATCTTTGTGACGTAATTCTCCCGAGGGACAAAAACACCCAAAACACTAATCACTTTCCAAAATATGGTCTTCTTTCAAAACGAAAGTTAAGGTGAGACCTATATTTTGGTAGCCCCCAAGTGTAACCTTAGGTGGCTTTTGCTGTATACACATGCTAGGTTATATTTCACATGTTTATTTGAAATCCTAAGATTTGTATTTTTAATTTGTGGAATATTGCATATGTTTATCATGATTTTTATGATCAGATCAAGTAACATAATTAATTATCTTGATCAAATAATAGGAAGTGGTATTCTTCCCTTTGTCATCTAAAGATGGTTCGTAATAAGCTTTTCATGACATTGAACTCGCAGCATAAATAACGTGTTCAAATCTGTTAATAGAGAGAAGTGGGGATGTCTAGGCTTTTATATCCCCCGGTTTGAGGCAAAGAGTAAAAAAAATTATACTATTTTTCAAGTATTTAGGTTCCAAATGAGAGGGATCATCCCGACTTTCCCCCTAAACAAAAAATGAACAAAAAAGACGGATTTGCATAAAATGGAAGGGAAATCCAACTTTCCCATAGAAGAATAAAGAAAGAGAATTAGACATGTTTTTAAAATCAAGGATCATTGACTTAATATTTGAATCCTCGTGATGACTTGGCAGTGAGGTATACGTGTGATAGTGATAACAATCATTTTTTTCATGTAGCAATCATGTTCAATCAATGTTCCTCGCTTGGAGAAGCTGAAGATATCCCACGCCGTAGGATATATTAGTTGCTCATGATAAGTGAGAAGACCAATGCTCAAGAGTTGTAAAAGACATTTAAAGTTGACGTCGAGGATGTCGATATATTAAATCAATTTATTGTATTAACTCTTTTTTATTCTAGGCAATGTATATAGAACTTGAATTACCTCGGTAATAAATAGCCCTATTATTAAAAGAAAATAAGATGAGTGTTTTTTTTTTTTGTTTTTTTTTTTTTAAGTTATTAGTCATCTCATTTTTCTTGGCAAAAAAATGGAAAACATCGAATTTAATTTGATACGATTACTTTACTAAAATAGTGTTGTACACATCTAAAAATGTCTCCCCAAAACCAAACCCAATGATGAACAACCTTTCACCGCCACTATTGGTCGGTTTCAGTATTTCGAAGTCATTAATAGTAGATTTTAGGGCTGCTCGCATTTTGAAGTTGCTTCCACTATAAGAATCAAAAGCATCAACACCTTCCCACAACAATTTCAATTCATGGAATAGTGGTTGCAAGTACACATCAATATCAATACCGGGACCAAATTTACCGGGAATAATTATAGAAAGAATAAATGATGATGACTTCATGCACATCAATGGTGGTAAATTATAAGGAATGAGGACCACCGGCCATGTACTATAATTTGTATTAATTAGATGATATGGATTAAAACCATCACTAGCTAGGCCCAGTCTAACACTGCGAGGATCAACCACAAACTCTGTATATTTTTCATCAAATTTTTTCCAAGCCTCGCCATCCGTAGGGTGTCGTAGAATCTTATCATCCTTACGATTAAAGTGTCATCTCATCTCCTCTGCAGTTTTAGATGACATGTAAAGCCTCTTTAATCTAGGGATAAGGGGAAAGTACCGTATTACCTTAGCCGCCTCGCCTTTCATACATACTTCTTTTCCTTTCTCATTTAGATCACCCTCCTTTCCTTTCACACTTTTCCACCTCGATGTATGGCATATATGACACTCACTTTTATCCACAAATTCGCCTTAATATAACATGCAGTCATTTGGACATGCATAGATTTTCTCATATCCCAATCCCGGATCATTTATTATCTTCATGCCTTCATAATAAGACGATGGAAAATTCTTAATAATGGGAAATACATCAATTAGAAGTTCAAGTAATTTATTAAATGACTCAGCAGACCAATGGAACATACACTTTAGGTGAAACAAGTGCAATAGAAATGATTGCTTTGAAAAAGTAGTACACCCTTCGTACAGGCCTTTTGCAGAAGCTTCCATGAGTTTTTTTATCCTTTGTATGCTCTTCATTTAAGACTGTTGATTGATACTCATCATCTAACTCGCAATGAATGGTAAACCCATCATCCATGTCATATGAATTGCCATCTTCAATACTTGGTTCACTTGAAGATGGATTGTCGGTAGGTTGAGTATCAACTTTAAAAGCTGCTCTTAGTAACCATCCATATCATCTCGACCTACTACCTTTGCTTTTGCTTGATCATTACTTGGATCATGAGTCTTACTTCCTTTATATTTACAATGGAATATCCAATTTCTATAGTTTTTATAAAAACCATTAAATAAAATATGCCCTCCAACCTCTTCTACAAAATCCCATTTATAACTTACATTTGTTACATGGGCAGCAAGTTACCAATGTATCTTGTGACAGTCTCTCTTTAGCAAGGTCTAAAAATTTCATGCGACCTTTATAATAACAAGGATTACCTTTTGGTAAATCAATCCAACTAGTATCCATGTCTACAAAGAAATATATAGTTAATTACAAATTATATATATGTACATTATAAAATATCATTTTACAAGATAGATTTTAATGTGTCCTTCGATGTTAACTAAGGACACATAGATTGCTACACGTGAAGCTTGTCAACTAGTTAAAATTCTCAAGCAAAAATAAATTAAACCAAATCCACCATCAACCCTTTTCACATCCTAATACTCATAATGTGACCAATTTACCAACCAAAGTAAATGAGTATTGAGTAACTGTAGAAAGCAAACAAAGACCCAAGCAGTCCAAGAAAACAAAATTGAACCAAACCAACTCAAAGATAATCCATGAAACAAAAACTAATCAAATCGAGAATGTGTCACTTGCATACATATCATTCTGTTGTGATTCTAATAATGCTGAAAAGAAGGAATGATTCAAATAAAAGTTTCAACCCCGACAATGCAATTGCACCACCAACGCTATCAAGAGGTTGTATTAAATTAAAATCTCATATTTCAGCTTGCGAAACATTTCGTTTTAAACATCAGCCTAGAGAGTGTATTAATGAATAAATTCACCCATATATAACCAGAGGATAATATTAATGAATTAAACACCCATTATAAACACAGTAAAATACACTAAACATTGATTCATATATTAAATGCTACCAAATTAATTCACTATTGATGATAAATTGCTTTACAAAAATATGAAGTATATATCATCTCAAAAATGCAGTAAACAAACCTAATTGTCCTCTATCTCTTGGCCTCTTTCTTTTTGAAACGAAGTTCTTCAAGTGCTGCTTACAGATAGAACAAATAATAAAATTCAATTATAGATGAAATTGAGAGAAAAATCAGCTAAATATAGGGAGAGGAACTTAATCTAATGAAAATTAGGAAAAATTAAAAGGGGAAATTAAGCTAAACTAAACAATTACCGATGAAACCTTTACCTTAGGCTGAGAAAATTCAAAAAATCCAAACAAACAACCCATAAAAATCGCCATAAAATTTTAGTACTAACGACCCATTTTTATTATTTCTTTACCTTATAAAAAGCAGGAGCTTGCGCTTATGAAGCGTGCACGGACCTATATGCCTTTCAAAATGTTTGTTTTCATTTTTACCCCAATATGTAATCTCTTACATTTATGAGAAATATATTAAAATAATATGTTATCAATAAAAAATGAGTAAAGGTGATTTTCCATATAATAATAGATGATAACTCAAAACAAAATGTGTAATTTCTCCCTACTTTCTTCTTTGGGTAAACATTTAATGGCATAAATCATACCAACATGAAAGAACGAATTGAACCTAAACTACACCTAGCTTTCTATGAATTAGCCGAAGTTCTTGTTAATTTCTGGGAACATAACCAGAAACAACACTTAGGTGAAAGATTGAAAACCTAGAAACCACTTAGCCTTGTGAACCTGAGAATTTCCATCTACTAGATGTATGTAAACATTCATACTTTCAATTTTTAGCTGACCAATAAAAGGCACTTCTCAAGTCATGCACTCATCACCTACGTGATTGGGCATTATAAAAAAAATTAAATTAAATCAAAATAAAAATAAAAACCATTGCAAAAAAAGCCATGTAGCAATAAAACAGAATAATAGTACTCAACAATTCAATTTCTTCCAAGATCCCATGACTTAGACATGCTTAACAACACCAGTAATGAATTGAACTTGCCGACTCTTTTTCAGGGGTGGGTAATATATATGAATAATTTTATATATGAGGAAGGAGAAAATAAACATCATTACCAATCTAATTTTGAGTTGGCATCCAAGGTGAAAGTTCCTCAGCAATCTGTTCAGCAAAAAATAAAGTGGGGACCAGATTTAGATGATATTAAAGGTTACCAAGTATATATCAGGCTTGCAAAAAATTATGTATCTTTATAGCATATTAAGTGACCAAGTGTAAATAGATTAGAGGACAAGAAAGATTGCTCAAAATTGCAATCCTTGAAAAAGTATCAATGTCTGCCCTGTTTGATGTCTATATGGCCAAAAAAATTTCATATCTAGTACAAAATAGCTAAAACAATTTCATATCTAGTAAAAAAAAAAAAAAGGAAAAATTTAGGAATGACAAATTTGGAAATTGAAAGCACAACTTATGGATTGAAAAACATTTAGGTAGTGTTTGGACTCAAGTATTTGATTTCAAATCTGGAATTTCAAATCTGTTATTTCAAATACAAACATTCAATTCCAAATTCTTTATTTGTATAAACATAGAATTCCAAATTAATCACTCTGAATTCACTATGTATTTTGAAACCATGATTAACTCATTATGAATTTTGAGTTGCATGCCTCTGTTTTTCTCCCTCTAAAAATGCAGTATGCTCTAACTAAGAAATTAAATCAACCATATATAACAAATTAAACCAGAAATTAAAATAAGAGGGAGAACTTTATTGAAAATCCTTATTATTGAAACACATTTTTAGAAGGTGAAGGCAATAGTCAAGGATTTACAGCAGAGTAGCCAATCTTCAAGAAGTTTCAGGTGGCGTGCCGGCAGTGGCTACGGTAGCAGAGGTCAATTAAAAGGTGGGAGAAAGTTGCAGGTGGCGTGCCTGCAGTGGCAACGGTGATACAAATTATTTCATCAAAATTAAGAACTACTTTACTATACTAATCAAGGCAATATTAATCATCAAAATATGATATAATTATGAAAAATTTTATTATCAAAAACATGATCACCGTCAGAAGGTCTCCACCATGTCTCAATTCAGCCTTCAACAATCCTCCTGGCACAAGATTCTTCTTCCTTCTGAAATTAAAAACAAAATTTATGAGAAATTCATCACAAAATGAAGCAATTAAATCTGAAAAATTGAAATACATGAATTGGACCGTTAGTGGCGGCGAACTAGCGACTGGGTATGACTCGTATGAGTCCGTGAATCAGAGTGAAGGTTTGAAGGATTTGAAATGACATGCTTTAAAGCTGGACTTAAAATTCTGATAATTTAACTTAACTATTCAAAGTCTGGAATTGAGTGAAATTCAAATGCAAATACGTATAATTCCCAAACAAGCAATTTGAGACAATTCCATAATTTGATATGATAGTTTCCAAATAGACTATTAAGTAATTGTATCTAATTAAGTGCAAAAAATTACATGATGCGCCGTCAATGAATTCTTAGAAGTATCGCGCGATTCTTGTTATCTTTCAGTTCAAAACCGCAAAAGGCCAGAGATTTTCCGATTTCAACCACGGATTAAACAAAAAACATGAGAAATTGAACATTATACTATACCGTAGATGAAATTTGAACTAGAGATTAAGGAAAAGCAAGAAGGTTTACCTTTATAAATCGATGAATTTGACAGGTTGAAGAAGAAATTTCCCAAATTCCCACAATTTCCAGAACGAATTGGGAGACGAATTTGAATGGAGAACGTCAGAACGATGGATGAAGCAAATTAGCGATTTCCAGAAGCAGCAAATTTGGTGATGACTGACCTAGCTTTTTCTTTCTTTTTTTTTTATTTTTTATTTTTCTGAAACTAGACCTAGCTAATTAGGCGGTTTAACTCGGGACATTCTTCTAACCTCGATTTTTTTTTCCTTAAAAATTGAAATCCCGGGCAACCAAAATAGTCACGTGCGGGTCATGTGACTTTGTCGACGCTTTTTAGTGTCCACAGACGACCTCGACCTGGAAAAGCGTCGTTAATAAGCGGAATATAAATCCTTACATTGACACTAGTACCATAGCGTCGAGATAAAAGCGTCCATAAAATACGGAAATTGTAGTAGTGATATTGCATGTTTAAAGGAGATATGTAATTGAAAATCACACATAATAAGATAATTCGGACAACCGGTTTAGGATCCTTTTTAATCTTGTTATTAATTCAAGTGATCATAATATTTTAGAATTATATGTTGCGTTAATATTCAACCAATTTAGCTTAATAATAGATTGGAGCGAATTGAATCTTTATTTGTATGCCTTTGAGATCGCAAGAATCACTTTTCACTATAAGAATCGAGTAGAGGCCAATACGGGCGAATGTGACTCCATGACTCACTTCATACCATCATCCCTGATCCTCCTTTTGTGGTTCCAAACCATTTGGAGTTAGTAATCTCATGGATAATGAATGGGGTGTAACCTTCACGGGTCAATCGTTGTTGCCTTCGTTGTCCCTTATTCGTGGTTGCCTTAAATGATCCGTGAACGGTTTACAAGTTCCTTAAAAACTTGTTGGCGGCTCCCTACTTTCCTTGTCCCTAATCGTATATGTTAATTCCCACTTCCTAAGAGTGCCAAGCATATTCACACATGCTTTAACATAGGCGCACTTCGAACAACGCCTACAAGTGCCAATAGCCAATGACTATCAAATCATCCAAATCATTTGACTTTTATATATGATTTTGTAACCATAACTCAACACTTCATGCATTTTATATATGATCATGACTACTCAATAGTAGGTCCATATGTGCAAAGGCCTAAGATTGACCATATTTTCATGGCATGATTATTTTGGTATATGGTTATTGTTTCGGGGTTTTCTGATGTCCTGCGGGAGTGTTACAATTCCGAGACTAGAACCGGACGCCTGTACCTGCAAAACAAACGGATGCTCCGGATGATTGGAGATCCGCCTCCGACGGTCAAGTTAGTACTTGATTAAGGAGTAATTAATGCGGAAATTAAAGTGATTGGGTCTCTCTAGGTGAGAGTGTTTAATGTGTGTAATCTGCGTTTTTAGCGTAATCTCCCTTAATGAGGATTAAGGGAGGTATTTATAACCTCGGGAAACGTGTCAATCTAGGTTTAGGTTAACCTTGGGCTGATTGGGCTTCCCTCGGAAGTTGGGCCTAGGTGACCGGTTATCCCAGGTGTCATGGGAAGGACACGTGTCGTGTCGTAATTGGTCCATAGTGGACGGAGCATTGCTTGACACGTGGCAGGCTCCTATTGGCCCATGTGACGGACACATGGCGGAACCTGATTGGTCCACTTGTCAGATGGTGATTGGTGGGGAAAAATCCCCTAATCATTTGCCCCTCACAGGTGGCACGTGACTGGTCACGTGTTACCTGTGACAGGTATCGCCCTGTAACAGGCGACGGCCTGCTACAGGTGTCACTCGGCGAGAGGCCGAGAGATTCTCCCGCCAAAATTTTGAATTCTGGAAGTGACCCTTCGCCTTCTCACTTCGCCTATATAAAGGAGTGTTGACTTCGGTCATTTTCACACTTGAAAAATTTGTGAGAGAACATTCGGACCCCTGAACTTGCTCTGACATTTTGGACCCTTTATGCCTACGCCTGCTCTGACAAGCCGACTGCAAAGGATTTTCAGAACTTCATCAATCGTCACTCGTCCAGGTAACCGTCGGTTCTCTTACTCTTAATTTTCTCTTTACTTTATTCTTTTTTGAAATGGCACCACGGAAGCACACGATACGACCTAGGTTAGTGATCAGCCGGTCACCGGGGACGGCTGAATCTAGGACTAGGAGTGCCGCCTGCTCTTTTCTGGACCCATCTTTGCCCTTTATACAAAGTCCGACTGTATCTGTGTCTATGCAGAGCATGATGGCCAGAACAAAAAAGACTGCCAGGATCTCAAACTCAGACGACTCCTCCCACAGGGTGCCGATTAGTGAAACATCTGACCAGGCGCCAGATGTGGAAGTGAAACAAAGCGGCTTGAAAGCCGGCAGTTCTGAGGGAGGAGTCAAAGTGACCCCTTCCCATTTTACAGTTGACAATTCTACATTCTCTCCTGCTCCTTTTAAAGGAGAGGAGGCGGGCCCCTCCGGGAGAGGGGAGGAGTCGTCCTCTTCGGACTCGTCAGAGGACGATTCCGAGTCTAGCTCTTCTGGCCATGCTTCTCTGGACACAGAAGAGAAAAACAGTCGCCTGCAAGAGGCGAGGCTTTCTCACGCAGTTGAGAAGGGGGACGATTGGGCGGAGCCATCCGCCTCTCACCGAGAGAAAAATACCCCCTACTACTGCACGGTACCTCGGGGCCGGATCACAGCCATGCAAGAGAAAGTGGAGAGCTTTATCGCAAACCACACAATGGGCCCCGACTTTTTAGTGTTTGTGCCGGATCCAGAAGACACAGTCGTCTGGCCGGCTGGTACCAGTTATGATAGCGCCTGCTTTGGCTGCTACGAGGCGGCCATCAAGGCTGGGCTGCGCTTCCCACTACATCCGGCTGTTCAGCGGATCTTGGATGGGTATGAGTTGGGGTTATGGTAGTTAGCCCCGAACTCCTGGGTCAACGTACTCGGCTATGTGGCCGGGTGCGAACTGCACGGGGTGGAGCCGAGCTTCGAGGCTTTCGCCCACATGAACTACCTCAGCCGGACCCCTAAGGCAGGCGGTACCGGCTGGTATCAATTGACGAGCCACAGGGGCTACCTCATGACGAGAGGTAAAGCAAACAAATGGAAGGACCGGCGGAGCACCTTCCTCATCATTGAGAATTCAGACACAGAGCTGAACAAGCGCTTCAACAGGTGGAACAGGAATCCGCCCCTTCTTGCAGACGGCCGCAACATGTCGCCTGTTCCCCCCAAGGCTAAGAAAGAGATCCTAGATAAAGGACTCTTAAAAGTAGAGGCGAAGGTGAACTCTACTTCAGGGGTACGAGAGCAAGTACCCCTGCACTGCGTCCCGAGCTTCAAATGGCTCTACGACGAGTACTTTTTGGCCGCCTGTGGCCTCAGCAGTCGGTGCTCAAGAGGTAGCCGGCCTGTCGAATACTCTGTTGTTCCATGCATTTCTTGTTATGACTTTTATTAACTTTGCTATTTGTTTTTGCAGCGGACGCCATGAGCAAAATTACCGCCTCCAAGACTGCGGCGGCCATGTTGCGGGCCTCCATCATGCAACAGTCTTCAACCGACTCCCCCAACAAGGGGGCACCCTTGGTGGGCTTCGAACCTTTCACCCTCTTTTTGGAGTTGTGTTTATGTATATACTAACTCTTTTCTTCTTTTTTAGACGGGCGCTCCAAGAGCTTCTTCTTCCCAACAGCCGGACCCCAAGGCCCGGAGGACGACTGTTGTGAGCTCTCCTGGTTCTGCCAGGAAACATGCGGCGGCTGAGAAACAGCCGACCACTTCTTCTAAAACTCCAGCTGGGCCACCTAGAAGTATGAAATTATCCTTGTAAATTTTAGACTTGCTCCCTTCTTTACTAGGTCTAATCCGTTTGTTTATGCTTGATGCAGCCGGCCCTCAGGAGCCTGACTTGGTCGAGGTGGCCAAGTCTATGATCAAGGCCGTTCCTCCAGCTGAAAGGGAGGCGGTCAGGGGTGTCGGCACCCTTGACCTAGACGGGATTGCAGGGGTCCTTGTTGAGGTATACTTAGCATATTTTTGAGTATTTGAATTCCAGGACGCATGTTTTCTTTTTTGTTTGGAAACTGACGCCTGTTCCCCTTTTTACTTAGGCCCTGCTCCGAGTGAACGGCCTTCGAAGCCGCTTGACCGGAAGAACAAAGAGGTAAAGGCTGCAAAAGCTATGGCCGCCTCTGACTGTGATAAGGCAATGTTTCAAATTGCCCAAAATGAAGTTCTGACCATTGATATTCTTTATTATCAGGCGCAGGCTACCACCGCTACCCGGGCTCAGTTAGAGGCGGCCCAGAAGAGGAATAGCGAGCTGGAGGCGACCATCAACAATCTCAAGGCCGAGCTGAGACCTCTTCGCCAAAAGATGTCCTCATACGAAACCTTGGAGAAATCCTTGGCGAGCGTAAAGGTACGCCTGGTGACCCAGGAGAAGAGTCTTACTCAGGAGCTCTCGGAAAAGGCCGAGCAAGAAAAGAAAGAGCTGGTCCGGGAGATGATGGAAGACTCTGCTCAAATCCAGCGCATGACTTGGGGCCGCCTCTTCCCTAATGCCGACTTTGCCTCATGGGAAAAAACGTAACGCCAGTGTTCTGATAGATATAATCAAGAGATCCTGGCGGCTGCTGAGGAAGAGGCGTTGGAGGAGGAGGAGCAGCCGGTAGTGGCGCTTGTGCCGCTTGGGGGTAATGCATCAAAAAAGGATGCAGCTGAAGCCGAGTCCAGCAAGAAGAGTGCTGACCAGGCGACAACTGCTAATATTGAAGATCTGCCCCCTTCTTAAGCTTTATGTCTTCTTTCCACGGCCTGCGTGCCGTTTGTTTGTATTTACCCGGCCAGGGGGCCGGGGCTCTGAATATTTTGCCGGTCTTTAATGACCGGCTTCCTTTTAATGAATATTTTTGTTTTGCTTCAAACTTGTTCAAGTATTGAATATTCTGATATCCAATTGTACACTATATCGACTGTTTTACATGGCCGATAGTTGCAGACAGGTACAGATAGTTAGTCACGCCGCCTATGCCCCTGGACGACTGGTCGTCTGTTTCCAGGCTAGACGATTAGTTGGCCATTTATCCAATCGGTATTCGAACCATTTTAAAGACTGGATCCCCTTTAGGCAGGCGGTTCTGTCATATAAAATTAACCAAGTAGGAAAGTGGTTTCCTACTTATGTTTTTAGGCTAGAGACTTTAGGCCGTCTAGGCCGACTGTTCCCCGCCATATTTAATCTAGTGTGAACAGGTGCTGTGTGAACACCTTTTTAGTTTCATACTAAAGTTTTAAGGAGTGACCAAGTAAACATGATTGTTACCTAGTCGCCAAGTAACTGAGTAGTAGAGGTATCAAGCGGTGGGTACCGGTTGTTCCCCTTTATTTGCCAATGTT